TAATATTACTATAAGGGTACTCATTCAATGCAACGAAATACATCTTTTGATTTTAATATTTTTTTTATTCTTTATCTCAATCGATATTATGATATGATCTTATGTGATTTTGAAAAAGCGATAATATATTTATTTTTGAATAAAATATAAATTTGAAGATAACATAGGAATTTGACAAAAATATATCGACATTAGTATCAATTAACTATTTAGAATTATTATTTTTTGTGTGATTTTTTAATTCAATTTTTTATTATAATTTAATTTAGGTTTAATAACGAAGTAATTTATATTTGGTTTAATAATATAATTTTCTTATAAAGATAATAATTAATTATTTTGTTAGAACTCGATAATTATCATAATTATATTTTAGATTTTTTATATTTTATATTTTATATTTTAAAATGAGATGTTTATCCTCTAATTGGTTATGTTTATATGCAGTTAGTTACGCGAATTCAAACATGGAGCTTTAATAAGTTGTATTTATGCATAATTTACTTGTAATCTTGAATTTTAAGTAATATGCATTAATATACATTACTTCATGCATAAAAAATGATTTTTAAGAGTTTTTGTCAATTGCTTTATAATATAGTATAGATAAGAAATTGACGTGGTATATTTACAATTTTTTCATCGTTAATCAAAACCTTGTATTAAATTATATGATGTAGGATTGGTGGTGCCTATGGTAACACGTACCATCGTTTTGTTTCTTTATCGTAGTGTATAAAATTATAAGTTTGTGAAAAGTGTCACCGTAATGAGGGTATAAGTTTTTCTTGATAGAGTTGGTTTGTAAGATTTTTCTTTCACTCCAGACGTAAATTGGAATTTTGTTAGTATCATTTTCTTAGTTTTTACGTTTTAATTTTATGTTTATTTTGTTTTTGAAAAAAATTGCAATAAAAAGCTTGAACACGGAACCTCTCATATGAAAAACAATGAACTAACCAACAGATCAATGATAATTTGAAGAAAAATATTCTTATAATCAAATGGTGTCCACTTAAAAAAAAGTTAGGTCGGTCTATGAATTATGATGAGTCAAACATTACATTTTTTTAGAACGGAAAGATGAGTGTTTGTCATAAAACAAGTAATAAAGTCTAGAAAACCTAACGAGCTTTTTTATTTTGAATGATTAAGTCTTAGATTTTTTTTTTTAATGAATAAACTATTGAAATTTATCAATTTGAATATACAAGTCTCTAAACAATTTTTCTAATATATAAACCGTAATTTCTTTTTAATATCAACCTGTATCATTTTAACCCAAAAAAAAAAAACCTGTAACAGGCTAAGAATTTTTTAACAGACGAAAACCTAAATCAATTTATCATTCTCAAGCTCTATGCCAATCAAATCCCTCACATCTAGCAACATCACTACCTCTCGTCGCCCCATCATCGTTTCTTCTCCATATTAATCATTGTCGTTGTTGGCTCTTACCATTGATCTTCCTCTGATTTTGATATTTTTTGTCCTTCCGATCTCTTTCTTTTACAACAATTCAATAGTGAACGTATAAACAATAAAAAAAAGATGGAGAATCGGAAAACAAAAAAATCAAGAAGAGGGAGACAGATGGCAGGGACCAACAACGGTGATGGACGGTGATAAAGAGAAGACGATGATGGGTCGGCGAGGGGAGTCATGACGTCGGATGCGAGGGATTTGAAACGGTAAAATTAGTCTAGGTGACTTTTACTTTAAAATCTTGCTAACCGGTTATAAGTAGTTTTTTTTAATTAAAAATGTAAATAACCAATTTCAAAAAGTTTAATAGTTTATTTATAAAAAAAATCAGTAATTTAATCATTAAAAAGATTCAAAAACTTAATCAATTAAAATTACTGGTTTTAATACTTCAAAATTTTCATTTATGGTCGAATATCCAAATCGAACAACTTGTAGTCTCATGGCGTGATTGCTGTGTAGGTCACATGAATGCGAGTACCTACAGGTCTACTTGTCCTACATATGCCCTATAATTTAGAGTTAGTAAATTTGGTCCATGTAATTTACATAAATTAACGATTAAGGTCCCTGAAAATAATTATTGACGAGAGGCATCTTTATAGTTTCACTTTTATAACGAATATGGTCCCTCATAAACTCTTAGGGGGGTTTTGGTTCGTAGAATGAAATTTGATGGAATTGAAATTCATCAAAATGAATTTGACTTTGAGGGAATGAAATGGAATCTGATGGAATTTGACCATGTCTTGTGATTGCGTTTGGTTGCATGGAATTGGATTAGAGAAGAAATTTGTAGGAAAGGAATTGAAATCCTAGCATATTGCCATAGAATTGTAAAATATGTGCATGAAGGAATCGATTGGAATTGAAAGGATTTCATAATCTTATTCCATGAACCAAACACTCTATTTGGAATTTGGTCAAAGGATTGGAGATTCCAATTCTTTTCAATTCTCATGATCCAAACAGCCCCTCAGGGTGCGTTTGGTTTGCAGTAATGAAATGGAATTGAGGGGGATTTGGATTTAAAATATATTCCAATCATGTGTTTGGTTTGCCAAATTGTCAGGATTTGAAATCCCGGGATTTCATTAAAATCCATCAAACAAGGGATTTGGAAATCCTTTGCAAAGGGGCGGGATTTCATTAAAATCCATCGTTCCTCCCACTTCCCTTCACCTCGCTTCCCTCCCATCGCTTTACTCCCGCCCTAATCGGTCCTCCTCGCAGGTGCTCCCTTCCCGTCCCCTCGCGAAGCTGCCGCCCTAACCCGCCAGTAAACCCCTTCTCTTCGCCGTCTTCTCCCATCACTCAACAGGTAAATCCTTTTTCCCTTTTTCTTGAATGTTTTGGTTTCTGTTAATAACAGTTTCAAAATGTAGTGGTTTGATGCTTTTTCTTGATTTAGTTGTTGAAATTGATATCCAGTGTTTGAAGGATTTCATTTACATGGATGATATGCAAATTTCAGGCATGTATCTGTTGTTGTGTAGTTGAATTACTTGTTGAAATTCTTTCATGCTTTCATGGTAATCCAACTAGATGTTGAAAAGTGAAAACTTGCTTTTTTAGCCAAGGTGAATAAATGGATTTCAAATTCAATCAAAATCCTGCAAACCAAACACATAAATGGATTTTAAATCCAATCTAATGCAAATCCCTCCAAATCCAAATCCCTCATAAACATTCCTGCAAACCAAACGCACCCTTACTAACTCTTTTACTTAAGTTTTCGTTAGTCAGTGGAGTATTATGTATTCACTCTTCTCTCCTTCAACTTTCATTTTCAATAACAAATTTTAAATTTAAATTTATTTTTTAATTTTCAATTAATTTATATATATATATATATATATTGATAAAATAATAAATCTATCAACCATGACTTAATGATTTTGTATTATTAATTATTTTTAAGCTTTTATTATTGCACCAAAACACATAAAATTAAATTGTAAAATGATATGTAAGCAAATGACGATGGATTCTTTTATGGAAATTAATTAAAATAGTATTTTGATGGTATGGTTTAACTTTTTAGTTATTTTTTTTAAATAATAAAAATAGTTATATACCTATAACAATGTTTTTGAATCAGTCTACAATTACAAAGACTAAATATATAAATTTGGAAATTTCAGACATATTTTTACGTACCTATAACTAATTTATATATTTAGTTCATAAAATTACAGGCCTGATTCATAATTTTTTTTTTTTACATTTTGACACCTCCACAAATTACGGACTTATAGCTATTTTTGTATTCTAGAAAGAAATGACAAAAAAGTAAAACACACCGTGAAAAATGACTATTTTAATAATTTCCTCTTTTATTAATTAAAAAGTAACTATTCTTTACAATAATTTATTGCTTAAACAACAAACCGTAAATAAAGAACAATCATATCAGAGTCTACAATAGTAGAGTGAATTTATAACATGTCGATGCAACACGATGAAAAAAATGATATGATTGTATGTTAAATTCCACAATTGTGATGTTGTTATGTTACTTTAAACAAATTGCTTGGTTTTTAAAGTGGAACTATTGAACATGCTTTAAACATATTGATTTAAACTTATGGGCTGTTTACCAAACGCTTATTCGGGTAAGTGAACACCAAGTTTCATTATCTTACCGGATGAATATGGTAATGACCAAAAATCTTATCCGGTAAGAACAAGACAAAGACCAAAAGTCTTACCTGATAAATGAGGGCGACGACTCTTACCACTGTAAACGTTTAAATATCTTAACTATATTATTAAGATATTTAAAGTGGAACTATTGAACATGTTTTAAACATATTGATTTAAAAATATTAGTCGTTTACCTTAAATATCTAAACTATATTGTTGAGATATTTTATATATTTAATAAAATTTTATTTTTTTAATGTAAATATTTATTCAAAATTTATCATGATAAAAATATAATAGAAAATATTTTCAACCGGTGATCTTTTAAAAAAATCTCTATTTGAAATAGGACAAATTGCATGAAAAACATATGTACTTTAATTTGATTCGTATTTTGAATAATGTATTTTTAAAACTTCTATTTTGGTATCTAAGATGTAAAATTTAAACATTTAAGTAACCGGTTACTATGCTGATGTGACCAATGACGTGGTATTAAACTCAGTATTATTTACTAAAGCATTAACCAGATATCACTTCACTCGTCACATCAACATAATAACCGATTAATGCTTCAACCGATTACTCGAATACGTAATTTTTAAAACCTTCATTTTGGGTAAAAATTAACTTAAGGTGTCGTTTGAAATAGTATGTTGTACTTATAACAAAGATACGTGTAGAACGTTGATTAGCGGGATAATGGGGCCATATATACTTACTCGCCATTGGACCGGATATATACATATATATATAAATGGTTGTTTCGTTTCGGTTTCTTGATTTGTTGTGAAAACCCTGGTGTTGAACAACTGAGACAAGCGCATGCAAATTGCACAGATACACAGTGTCAGAGAAGTAATCATCAAATGGATGTTTCCAGACGGATTGATGAAGGAATTATGATGGAAGGTTGGCTCTATCTCATCCGCTCCAATTTTTTTGTATTCAAATACTCACGAAAGCTATACTACGTTCTTCAACATCGCCATTTCAACAGCTTCAAATCCATCTCTCATTCTTATAACAAGGTCCCTTCCTTCTCCCTTTTTGTATATATGCATCTGATGTGCTTCAATTTTCAATGATTTCTTCTTTGATACTACTTGTCCTTTTTGTATATTTTGTCTGTAAAAATGTATTTCAAGCCTTATATTACTTGGCAACTTCCGTAACAAATACATACAACTTACAAGAACTTGTAGTTTTGGTCCAAATTGATTTCCAACAGTTTCGTTTTTGGGAGTTCTGACCATCTGTCAGAGAAAAAAGAACGAACGGATCCTTTTTATATGATTTGTGGAGAAAATGTATGGTTGCTTACGAATCCCATATCTACATACCGTGAGGGGAAATGAAAAAGGAGAATTTAGAACAGAGTATAAACCAAGTAAACCTTAATTACGGATTTCTAAGAGCATTTTTCATGTTGTGTGGTATCTCAAGTGTTAATACCCCATAGAGAGAAAAAAAGTATTCGAATATCCCACCAGTGCCTTGTTGATGTAGACAAGGAATGGATTTCATGTTACATCTTTAATTACTTCCATGCTACGTTATTCAAAAAAGCAATAGGAATTCGGTTCCTCATTTCAGGATCCTATTAGAAGTGCAGTTGTGGATTCCAGCATTCATGTAATGGACAATGGAAGGAACTGCATCCGAGGAAAGGTATTAAATAGTTTTGTTTGCAAATAAGGTTTGCCTTTAGTTTGTTTCTCCTTACGGATTGCATCATCATGGTAATTCAGGTCTTCTTTGTTTTCACACTTTATGATACTTCAAACCATGATGCTCATGTGAAGGTACACAATCCTTTCTGCTAATAAACGTAAATTTAATTTCTGAAAAGCATAAATATGTTAATTGCTACATCCAAAATTACATAGTTAGGAGCAAACAGTCCAGAAGAAGCTGCAAGATGGATCAAATCTTTCCAGGAATTATCTCAAGAGGTACAAACTGTTTAACATTTATGAAACCTGCAATCAATTTCTGTTGCTGATAACTCACGTGCTTTAATAAATGTAGGTGAACCAGAATTCAGGGAACTTTTTGCATTGTCTTGGGTATGAATAAACATTATTCTAGGTGAATTATCTAATAGTCATGTTAACCAAGACTTCTTATTTGTTTTAAACAATATTAGATTTGGAATTTAATTCACAATAAAATTGCATTAAGATTCTATTCCGAGATAACTCTATCAAAGTATGTATGTATAAGAACGATGTTTACTTCTTTGTTCTTAGCATGACCAGATGTGATCTGCAGGTCAACCTATTCTGGTAGAGTGTGTAATAAAATTGGCCTTGATGATATCCTCTCTTTAGCCTCAATCACGGATCCCAGGACTGCTGACATTTATGAACCATCATACTGGATGATCTTTGGTTGTCACAATGGTAAACATCGACATAAGGAAAAAATTTCTTGATACGGCCAATATCCATGCTTACAAACATGTTTCTTGCTTCAGGTCTCAGGCTATTTAAACAAGCAAGAGATCAAGAAGGTCTTGATAAGGTCAGTGTCATGTTCATTTTCTAATATTCTATCCCCTCCCCCCCACAAAAAAAAAAGAGAGAGATTAAAGGTGCATTTTCTGTGTAGCAGAGAGATGGTCATCCTGCATTGGCAGCTGCTAGTGTGATGGAAGGAACCCCAGAGGTCATTTTCCAGACACTTATGTCTCTTGGTTCTTCAAGATCACAGTAAGGATAAAGATTATTTCCTCTTTTTTTCTCCTAAAAGATTTAGCATTATTTCTTTAAGTATATTATATATCAATGCCATAATTCAGCTACTTTGTCCATTTATTGGATAATGCTGTATGAATTCAATCCCGCTTTTTGGGTCTGCCTGGAATAATGCTTGTCTTCAACCACATTAACTTTTGTACAAAAAAAAAGAAGAAACCTATTTGCGATAACTGGATTCCCATATCATTAAAGTTGATCAAAGTTTGGTTATTTATATATAACCATGAATATAATGATGTATTAACATGCTATCTTGCAGATGGGACTTCTGTTTCCAGAAGGGTAGTGTGATTGAAAACATAGATGGACACACTGATATTATTCACAAGCAATTAGATGGTGATTGGTTGCCTTGGTATGAATATCTCATAATGATGTCTATGTTTCCATGACTGTAGTCCATATATAACACCATTCTTGCTATTTCCTCCTTTTCAGGAGTATGAAACGAAGAGATTTACTATTGCTGCGGTATTGGAGGAGGGAGGACAATGGGACATACAGTAACTAATTCTTTTTATTAAAATCTTGGTTTTCAGATAATATCTGCTTTAAGTTATTTTCACTCTGAAATAACTTTTCTTTTTTACTTCATTGCAGTCATTCTTTATCATTCCGTACTTCACAACAAGTGCCCCCCTCAGAAAGGCTTTATTCGTGCTTTCGTTGAATGTAAGATATGATGTACAATTACAGCAATATTGGTTCTGCTTTATCCTTTTCAGAGTTCCCTTATAACTTGCCATCTTCAGTAATTCTAGACTACTCTGACATATATTGCTGTTACTTTGGAACCCAATCTTAAACTTTTTATGCTAATAGATATTATATATATATATATATACACACACCACAGCCCACTGATATTATATATGCACATAGATATTATGATTATGGTCGAAATCATAATCGTAAATTGGGACATAGAAAATTGTAGCGAATCTCAGATTTATCTCGACCCTTCCTATTTTATAATATGGACTGAGAAGGAATATATGGCAACTAAGTACTCTTTCCATTTGCATGAATGAGAATACTTATACAAGTGCTACTCTCTTTTACTAGCATTCTATATTGACTAAACTTACAGAAGTTTCTGGTTTGCGCAACTTATTTGCTTGTGAATAGATTATAGATATATGTTAATTACTTAACATCTTTTGACAGAGTCAAACATAATGGTATTACCTGGTACTTTTACAGGTGGAGGGTATGTGATATCTCCAGTGAATCAATATAAACAATCAGTTGTAAGACACATGCTTGCTATTGATTGGAAATTCTGGAGATCTTATCTACAAAAATCTTCAGCTCGTTGCCTCACAATTCGCATGCTCGGGAGACTTGCTGGTTGCTTCTTTACACGAGTATTGTATTTATGTTTTTGTTTTGATTCCACTTCCATCTTTTGAATACTGAATCACTGTATGTATTTGTAGCTTTGAGAGAACTTTTCAAAACAAACTTGGCCAATCACTTGTTGTCCGAGTTCTCTTCACAAGAACTGAAGAAAGATAGCATGCTGCATCAGAGTGAAACTTCCATTAGTGTTGGAACTCAAAGCCAGGAAAATGGAGCATATAAGGAGTATATGGAGGGTGGATTGGTTCACATTTCTTCGAATCCCTCAAACCTTGTACAAATTGATGATCAGTCAGATGAATTCTTTGATTTTGCAGAACCTTTGTTTGATGATGAATCAGAAGGTTGCTGGGGTGCCGATAATGGTCCGCAATTATACTCTCAGGTTTTGATACTTGATGTTTCTTTATGTAGGGTTTTTGGTCATATTTTTTCAAGCTTATCATATGATATGAATTTATCAACGAAATATGCACTCAAATTCCTTAGTGTTTTTTTTCAGGATACATGTAACGTTAAGCCATGCACCTCATTTGCTAATGTTATTGCGGAAAAGAAGCATGAATTTGTATGTGAATTGACATTAGATACTAGATCTCTATATGCGTCAATGCAGAGAAAGGGTTGTGCAGACCTAGAGAAGCTTGTGTGGGATGAATGTGTCTCATGCAACTACACAATCACTCTTCCAGAAGATCAAACTGGTAATCTGGCCAACAGTTGGTCAGCATCAGAACCTTCTTTATTTCAACTTCGAGGAGAAACGTTTTTGGAAGACCGTAAGAAGGTGAAATTCTATGCTCCTTTCCCCTTTTTGGAACAGGAAAGTTATGTTCACCAAGTTACATACATCTCAAGTTTTTGAAGAAAAATAAAATAGCCATGGAGTTTGAGTTCAGAATGTTGGTTGCTATGTACTTCTTCCGTATCATGAAAGTTGCAACATTTTTCTTCTTCAACCACCTTTTAGTCTAAAATTCATTGCTTGCACATAGTCATCATTACATAGGATTGATAATTATTGATTTTGGTCCACAAGATTCCTTTATTCGTCATTATTTAGGGGTATTCAAGACGTCTGATCAACAGACAAATACAACCCCTTTAGAATGTGTGTACTCCAATGATGCAACTTTCATGGATATTTATTCATTTATCTCTTATTCATCTTCTTAATCAGATTACATCAGAAAGTACATTGCTGCAAACGGTTGCAGTGGATTGGCTGAAATCAGACAAGCGAGAAGATGATCTTGCTAGTCGACCTGGGAACATTGTCCAGGTTGGTCTGTTGTCTCTTAAACTTCTAACAAATTCCCATATGACTTGAAATGACGTTCACAAGATTTATTCTGCAGAAATACGCAGCTGATGGTCGTCCAGAATTCTTCTTTATTGTCAACTTTCAGGTAATTATGTTTGTTGTTTTGCCTAAACACAGATTCCTTAATCTTTGGAAGAGTCGATGAAATGAGAGTGGGAAATGGAGAGAATAATACTAACTCGAGTTACTTACTATGATTGTTGTGATCAATCAGGTTCCAGGTTCAACAACTTACAATCTTGTTTCCTACCATATGACAAGTACCCCTATAAAAGATATACCCTTGCTAGAGAGATTTATAGAAGGAGACGATGCATTTAGGAATTCAAGATTTAAGCTCATACCTCATGTATCTAAGGTGAGTAGAGTTCGTTCTACATGAACATGCCTTATTTGATATACATGTCTTCCTCAAATATGTTCAAAATTTGTGGGCTTGATGTCCATTTATCTTATGCATCACGAAATGAGATAAACGGACCAAACATACACTTGATTAAGCTTGAAGTTATTAGTTTGGCCACTCGATGGCATCAGGTATCAAACTTATGGTTTGTTCCTCATGCAAACTTATTTTCCAGGGACCATGGATTCTCAGGCATACTATTCACAGGCCCACTCTGGTTGGTCATATGCTCAAAATCAACTACATCCGTGGGAAGAACTACTTGGAGGTAAATTAGCAAACCAACTCAATCCTGCCTCTTCGGCCTGAAAATATTACAGGATGAGCTGAGGTTTTAGATATAGTTGTATGCAGTTATTCCCTGCCATCTCTTTAGTAACATGATGTTATACCCGGGGTATTTTAGTAAATGAGTCAAACATATTAGACTATGATACAAGTGTCTAATGGGTTGGTACATGCTTTAGGTAGTATCAATAAAGGGAGTGGCATGTTAGAAGGTATTGATCAGTTTGTCAAGTCTTTTTTGGTCGAGAGCCTTGGGAGAGAATCTGGCCTCTTGATAGCCAGAAACCCTATTGTAAACATTCAGTTGAGGTCTAATACAGTTCTATATCCCTCAAATTAGTCTGGTGTTTATCACATGACCTTAGGGGTAGCTGCTACGATTGATAATCACACACACAATTGTATTTGCAAAAAGAGTTTGCAAAGGGCTGATCCTTCCTACTAATGGCGGTCTCCAGGAAAGGCATGAAAATTGTAACTATTTGTACTCTTAGAAAGTTTCTAGCGACAGTCACCTATTTGCTTCTTGTTATGGCTACAAAAAATCGATGCAAGTGATACAGATTCATGGGAGTTGCTCTCATTTTTTGTCATTTTTTATGGTTAATTTTCTAAAATTATATACCCAATCAGAACTTGCAATTTTCATTGAACGGATAGAGTAACTTTTGATAGGTTTGATCAATATGACATCATTTCACTTGTATAAAATATATAATCAAGAGCACAGTGAGAATTGCTTCTAATGATGCATCTCGCAGAGGTACTTTATATTCTCTTTAAATCTAACTAACCATTTGAAAGTTGTTATAGATGGACGTGGACGTTGGTTCATCAGCATTTGCGAGGGGGTTGGCTAGCAAAACTTTCAGTTGCTTCACTAGTTTGATAATTGAAATAGCATTTGTTTTACAGGTACATACCATTTCTTTTTCCATTACGAATGAGTTATCTGTAATTATGAGAAGTCTTTTCTCCAAAAGGAAATTATATATGATGAGTATGACATTAGCGGCTTTGATGGTATTTTCCCTATATAAGCTTTATCTGAAAAGTAGGATAAAGAGGGCAAAACACACACTTGCCCACACGGCACACACAGTGCCATAGTTCGTTCATCTAATTGTAACGATTTATGTGCAGGCAAACACAGGAGAAGAGCTTCCAGAGCATCTATTTGGAGCATTTCGTCTAAACTATCTGGATATCTCTAAAGCTTGTTGGGCAAATCCATGATCTATATATACATACCATACAGTTGTTGTATAAAAATGACAGATACTATCAAATTGAAAGCTGATGATCAAAGACTTACACATCTTTTTTTATAAAGAAAACAAGGAGGCAAATTGTATAGAAGTCTGTGTAGATGGCTTTTAGGCCAGAAGATGGTTGATCTGTACCACTGGTTTGAACCCAATAATGAAAGAGTAGCAGGTAGTTGTGAGCTTGATGGAATTAAGAAATAGTCAGATGCAGCAGGTAGGGCTTGTTGAAGAAATTGACAAGTTCTCATTGGTAATGGTGGAGTCCAAGAGGTATCCAATTCAAGTACTCATGTTTTTATGTATGGTAACGCAATACACATCACACAGACATAGTTCTTTTTCGTTTTTACTCTCATTCACAAGTTAAAGTTGATCTTTCAACTCTTATTCACCAACCCTGACTATAAGATTAGGGTGGAATTGAGATATGCTTTAATTTCTTTTTATATTTACTTGATTCATTTATAATTATTATTATATACTTTACATAAAATTATTATATAGTTTTTAGAGATAACTTGTCCCCAAACGTGAAATACGCTACTCACACAATATAGCATGATACATTTTGATTTTAATATTTTGTTTTACTTTTTAGTTATAGTCTTATATGATTTTAAAAAAATGAATGTTTTTATTTTTAAATAAAATATAAATTTAAAGATATAATAAAAATTTGACAAAATATATCGATATTAGTATCAAATTAATTATTTAAAATTTTCCCTTTTTGTGTAATTTTTAATTATAATTTAACTTAGGTTTAATAATAGGGCAAATTACATGAAAAAAATAATGTATTTTAATTTGATTTCTATTTTGGGTAACATACTTTCAAAACTTTCATTTTGATACCTAAGATGTAAAGTTTTAAACATTTAAGTACCCGGGTAACCCAGTGAAGACTAATTTTAGACTAAAAAAAAAGACTAATTTTAGATTAAAAAAATCCACGTCACTGACTAGGTCAACAAATAATACCGAGTTGGATACCACATCACTCGCCACATCAGTATGATAACCGGTTAATACTTCAACCAGTTACCCGGGTACTTAAATGTTTAAAACTTTACATCTTAGGTACCAAAACGGAAGTTTTGAAAATACATTACCCAAAATAGGAATCAAGTTAAAGTACGTTACTTTTTCATGCAATTTGTCATTAATAATAAAATAATTTATATTTGGTTTTATAATATAATTTTTTATAAATGTAATAATTAATTATTTTATTAAAACTCTATAATTATCTTAATTATATTTTAGATTTTTTATATTTTAAAATAAGATGTTCATCTTCTATATAATTATGTTTATCGACAGTTAGTTACACGACTTCAAACATGAAGCTTTAATAAGTTGTACTTACATATAATTTACTTGTATTTTTGAAATTTAAATAATATATATCAATAAATAATAATTTATAGATAAATAATAATTTTTAAGAATTTTTGTCAAATGTTTTGTAACAAATTAGAGATAACAAATTATTGTTTTGTATAAAAAAACAATTAAACCACAACACTCCCCATTCTTTTCAACTTGAAATTCCTTTATTTCGAGAACCGACGACTTGTAGATCTGTCAAATGTCGTTTCGACGGGTGAAAAAATATTCAACCGAAACGGCTTCTGATTTTGATTACTCTTTCCGTCGACCGAGAGTGAGAATTTTATAACGTTTCCGAGAGAGTAGAACTTTCCGATCAATTTTGTATGTGTGTTTCCGGTGGAATCCCAAGGGGTTTATGAGCACAACACCTTTCACTCTAAGTCTATACATTTTGATCGAGACGGAAGACCACGCACTCAGAGAACCCGTCGTTTCCGGTATCTGCATGTCTTTTTTTTCTTCTTAATATTTAATCCTGGTTGACTTGTTGATTAAGATTTTGTTCGAGATATCAAGCAAGCAGTTTGAGGTTTTTGATTTTTTTTTTAAAATTATGGTATGAAGTTTGAACTTCTATCTTTTTATTCGTATCGTTTTCTTTTGTACTTACTAAATACTGAATGACAATTTTCCACTTTCGTACTAAAATGCATTTTTTTTAAATTTGTTTCAGTTTTTATTAGATCTCTTGTTGATTGGATTGAAGTTGACAATTGTGCATTCAGTGAATGGGTAATGTTCTGAGATTAGCTTTGTTGCTGGTGCTTCTTGCCAAAGGTATACATGTTCGTTGTTTAAAAAATCTGTCTTCAGTGAATTGTGCTGATTATTGCAAGATTGGTGAGGGAAATCCCTCTGCTTAATCTTTCCTTGCATATTTGCAAAGAAGCTTTCATTGTTACACAGACCCATGACTTCCCTATCTCGTAAGAGTAACTACTTGTGCTCAAAGGCCAACTCCTAACAATTTTTGGGATATTCGGATGTTCATGAAAATGATTGCTAGCCAAGAGGGAAAGTAAGAAAAACTCATTTTTCCCCAAGTCTACCTAAATGGTTGATAACCTTTTTTTCCAAAATGTGCCAATTCTATAAAGCATACCATTTGTAGAAAGGAGATATTGGATTAATCTTCTCTTTTTTTTACGTCACTAGGTAAGACTTGTTTCTAGAATAGAACATTGCATTGTATATCCCCACTTGGTTAACATAGCTTACTAAAAACAGATGTTTCCATGGATGGAAACAATGTTATTGCATCAAAGTATTTGTCGCTGTACATCTAGTTGTCCTGTTAATTACAGTTGTTCCATTGGTTCTCAGTTTATCCATCTTCTTGTGCATATGACTTTGAGCATTGCAAGAATGCTGTCAAGCAGTGGGCATCTTCTTCTGTTCACTCCAATAGCAAGGATGGACACATTTTGAAGGATTTGCTATTTTTTCTTCATGTCCCAAGAACAGGAGGACGGACTTATTTCTATTGGTAACTTTTTGATTGTTCTGCAGCAGAGACTTGTAAATATATCCCTTTGACTGAAGTAGAATCATCACAGATAATTTTTTGGTGTTACCTTATCTTTACAGCTTTCTGAAGAAACTGTACTCTAGCGCTCTTGAATGCCCACGGTCGTATGATAAACTGCGGTTTGATCCCCGGTATGTTTTGAAAAAAAAAATTAAAGCTTTTATTTGTTTTTTGATTCTTTTTGTTTGTAATTTTGATGCACCCCACAGTTGTAATGATTACGCCATGAGGAGAGCAAAATCCTCCCTGGTTTCACTGTAGCTACTGATCAGAAATCAAAGTATGCAGTTCAAGTGCCACTAATTTTCAGCTAAGCTGGCTGATAACTTGGACTTCTACCATTCCTATTCTTGATTGCTCGATTATCGACAAGCGTTTTTCCCTTCATGATTGCACCACATCAATAATCAACATTAAAAATTAAACAGCTTCATCTAACTTGTCAATGAACTAAACTGGCGTACAATGTGTAGCTCAAAGATGCATGCTCAACATCTTTGTGTATTGATGAGATTTAGACAACAACTAGTTCTAAGCTGGAGTGATTGATAATCCATTACAGCATCATAAGACTTCAGATGAAGGTACAAGTAAAACAGGGTAGATCAGTACAATTTCAGCTATGTAAGTAGGATGTTGACGTTTTCCCACTACTTCGGGGTCTATGTTAAAGGAGGGAGAAATTCAAAATAGATGTTAGAGTTGTGATAAGAGCTTGTTATTTCAAGGGACCATCCATCAAAGGGCTTTTACAATTGTGAAACTTTAATGAAGTATGAACTAAATTTATAGTATGATATTGAGGCCACTTGTGAAATGCTAGTCATTGTTCAATCTTCAAGTAGCATATGTGCACTGAATATGGTGTGGTTGTAATATGGGCCTTAGAGTCAATTTTCGGTGGCAGGAGCTCATAGAACTAGAAATCAAGGTGACCGAAACGTGCATGTGGCAATAAGAATATCACTTTAAAATAGTTTTGTCATATCATAAACTGGCCTTTAGTGCATTTGCAAGAAGTGAAATTTACAAAGATGTGAGCTTCATACAAGGTAAAGGTAGATTGAAAAAACGTATCATTGTTCTTAGAAGTAATAAAAGAAGTCCTTGATAGTGTAAGATGCTTGAGTACATCACGTTAGTTTTGGTTACCCAATGAGTTTTGATGAATATTAGTTGAGTGGCAATAATTATCATATTTTTATCTTCAAATTCCTTTAGCTCTTAGAATACAGTATGTAGATAATATAAGATAACATACATGTTACTGCTTGTTCCATGTTTGTTGGTATAAAACTTAAATGGATTTATATGCATCTTTCTAAACAATATAGTTCAATATTCTTGTGCAGCAAACCAAAATGTAGGTTATTGGCAACTCATGATGACTATAGCATTATGTCCAAGCTGCCCAGAGAGAAAGCATCAGTGGTAACCATACTAAGAAACCCCATTGACCGTGTTTTTAGTGCTTACGAGTTTTCAATAGAGGTGGCAGCTAGGTTTTTGGTGCATTCTAATTTGACATCAGCCACAAAAACGTTGGGACATTTGCGTTTAAAGAAAGGCGTTATAAGCACTCTTGAGATTTGGCCATGGAAGTATTTAGTTCCTTGGATGATGGAGGAACTATTTGCTCGGGTATGTTTGTTTCAATATTACTATGGGAATGATCTTTTAGTGATTATTAATTATTTCTTATCTATTATTTCTCTACCAAAAATTGAGTTTCTATGCTACATGAGGATGTAGAAAAAGAGAAGGCTCTCAAAAAAGGAGAAAAAGGGAGGGAAGTGAAATTTCTCTTTTAAAATGAAATATGTGCAGATAGTTGTTTACATTGAATACGTGTACCTTTCGTTTCTCCTATAAAATTCCTACAAGATGCTATTTCAAGTGCAAATTTTTGGTTTGGCTTTCCTTGAAGGTTCAAAGTTAAGTATACATGGTGGATTCACAACAGTGCTTCCAAACACCAAATGTGAATTTATTTGATATCAGTTAATTATTGATGTATATTTCGTTATCTTTCAAATCATTAAAGATTATTAATGTTGGTATGATTTCAGTTAATGTTGTATATAAGTAGTGTAATGTATGCTCCTATCAATCTGTTGCAGCTGACGAATCTATTTATTTTATTATAAATGAACAGCAAGATGTTAGAAAAAGAAAGGGTCCACCTTATGCTTATGGAAATGACTCATATAATATGGAGGAAATTGTTGTGCCGTTACATGAATTCATCAATCACCCTGTAGCTCTGGACATCATTCACAATGGTGCCACTTTCCAGGTATAAGCCATTATGTACAAATGGTCTTTGTGTCATTGGATAAGAAAGGGTTTCTGTGATCAATAAAACGAGTCAAATATGGTCACATTTCAATATAAAGAGGTAGCTTTATTGCATTTGCCCGATCTTCAATCTTTATTCAGCTTCTGTTTAGGTGAAATGTTTCGTATGTACATGAAAAAAGATTTGGTAGCCTATGTTTAGGTGAACCATTTTGAATGTTTCTCTTATAGCTAAGTTTTGTTGCTAAATAGGTTGCAGGTTTGACAAACAATTCTAATATATGGGCCGCGCATGAAGTGCGTCACTGTGTAATGACTTATCAGACTCTTGGAAAATATGTGCTTGAAGTTGCAAAGGTAATTACAAGGTCTTGAAAGAAGTCCTGAAATTCGACAAGTCTTTTGTGTTCACATTAAGGGTGTATTTGAGCAGAGACAAGCTTGAGAATCTCCATTTTATGATTGGCCAAGCCTGAAAAGCTCAAGGCTCAGTCGGCTCGTATAAGCTCAGTTTCTATTGATGCATATAGACTTGTAAGTTGAGCATTGGCTTAGTCCATGTAGGCTTTAATAAAATTAAGAGCAAACCTTCCAATTAAAATCACCAATAAGCTAATTTTAGAAAGTTACAATTGAAAGTCTGCAAGAGAAAACACCTAGCTTACTAAAAAACATAAATTACTATGGCACATTTAGGCTCACCAAGCTGTCGAGCCTGAGCCATACTAGGTCGACCTGACTATCTGAACCAGCTCGGGCTGGCCAAGCTTTTAGGCAAGCCAGCTAGTCTGATCTACGCCCTTAGTTCACACGAGTCATTTACTGTTTGCTTTACCTTGTAATGATGGTTTCTGGCAGAAAAGGTTGGATGATATGCTATATGTTGGACTTACTGAGGACCACAGAGGATCTGCCACGATGTTTGCAAACTTAGTTGGTGGACAAGTGATTTCACAATTAGTGGCATCCAATCCAGGAACTGGAACTGTAAATTACAATAAATCAGGTATGCAATTGCTGTTTTAACACGTACATTTTTAATGTCCCAGATAAGTTGTTCAGTTTTGTTACTTTCGAGTAAAGAAATATGAATTTTGTTTCGAAATTGTAGTTATTTTTCTTGGGTGCTTGGCCTTGCCTGCATACCTGGCGTATATATTGTCTGACCTTTTCTTTTGTAACTCTTTTGTATAAGAAACTAAATGTGGTAAATGAAAGGTCTCATGGAGGATTTTAGCTTCTGATGAAACATGACTGCTTGTGATGCAGAACAGGATTCATTGTTTTCGAAGGCTAGATTTGGTACGTCTCATGATCAGGTAGGGTCGTAAGAGTTAGTGAACTTCAGAAAACTGTAACTCAAGAATGTATATCATTGAAATTTATGCTAACAATGCCTTAATTTGCATGCTTAACAGGGTAACAACACATTAACTTTTGAAGCACAAAGTGAAAATGTATACCCTTGTTCTTTTCACATTTTTTTGACTAAAAGAACTTTATCGTCTCATTAGATGGCTGTGGAAAAACTTACCGAAGCTTATGAAACTTGCATTTCTAAGTTAAGATCGTCTCAGTCAAAACGGCGTATTAATTCTTTGAGAAGGATCTCTCCAGCAAACTTTACAAAGGAGGTATGCTTCTTGTGGTGTTTGCAAAGTTACCATATTTCTCATACAGGCAAATGGAACCCCATATCACATCTTTCATTGCACCATATGAATCGGGCCAGCTAAATGAAAAGCATTAGAATTGGACCAAGTACCCCCTTAGTTATATCTTGATCTAATTCCTTTTACGAACTATTTGGTTCGTACTGTTGTTGCTGCCACTGATTTTGTGAAATTTGACATTTTCAGGCACGGCGTCATGTTTCTGAAGCGGTTCTCAAGCAAATCACTCTGCTGAATAGTCTAGACATTGAACTTTATAAGCACGCTCAGAAAATTTTTAAAAGACAGCAACACGTTATGGAACAGAAGTTGCTCAATTCTGCCACGCCTGTAAGTTCCCACCTTTTCTGAACACTTGATTTCTCCTAGTTGAGTTCATTTGAATCCATTCATTTTCAAGCTGAATTATGGTTACTTTTCTTGGAGCATTCTTCTAGTTTAGTTTCAAGACGATCCAAAGCAATTCTGTAATGGGGGGAAGTTCAAAATTATATTTTGAGAACATGGAAACCAACTATTTCAAGTATTACTCATGATGAATGGCCTAAATATTTATGAATATCATGCATATTCATTATGAATAGTTGATTCCCAGGTTCTCAGAAAATTTATGATTCTCATTTAAATCTGTCCCTAGTGCATAGTGACTTGTACCTTGAAAGTTAGTGATCATTTTGCATAATTTACAGGAGAGGTGGCAGATGATGAATGGTGAAAACTACATTGGTTCTGCATGGGAAATCCCTTGCTTGTTCATGTTCATTTTTATAGTAGTGTTCATTTGCCAATATGAAAATGCAAAAAGAAGAACATCAAAACTCAAGATATAAATATGATTTGAGTTACAAGTTATGAGAGGTGTTAGAATACAGACACATAGACCGCTAACACCCATATCCATATGAAGCCCTCATGCTTCTATGCTCAAACTGGGAAGATAAACTTATTTAAAACCGGCGACATGACGATGAACCCGTTAGATATTTAGAAAGAAAATGGAGGTTTTGACAGAAAATAGGTTTAGGTCTAGTGGATGTGGATGTGGACTTGCACATGTTCTTTTTAAGTTCCATTTAGAGACATGAAATCATGTCAAAATACTACCTTGTAACTACATGTACTTGGGGCTGTTTGTTTGATTCTTCATTAGGTCTGTATGAGTTGTATGATGTGTGGATTAATAATTAGTCTTTTTGTATAGATTGAGAAGGCTTTTATTTGGTAGTGGTTCTTCGTTTTCATAGATGGTAGAAACGTGTTTTTTAATTGAGATAGCAAGTTTGAAAGAAAAAAATTTGGCTTTCTCTATAAAGCTCCCTTGTAGAAATTTACTGAATAAACCACTTTTATGATATATAGCTAATTAAATAAATTATAAGTAATAAACGTGTTTTTTTTTTGAACCGCATAAGTAATAAACTTGTTAAACTCCTAACAAGCTTATGATGGGACCATGGAGTTGGTAATTACCAGGAAGCTTCCTCTTTTGTCATTTTATTTTTATTTTTATTAAAGCAATAAATAATGTAATAGATAAACACATACATAAAAATGAAAGTCCAGGTTTTCGATTTAAATAATCTTTCAATTACGTACAACGGTAATTAGTATTTTTTATTATAGAATTTATATTTAAGTTATTTATTATTTAATTAGAAAAATAAAATCTTATAAATCATAACTAATGATATTGATGTATAAATATGTAACCTTGTGAAATTGTCATTCAAATACTTACAGCAAATCCATCCGTTTATTTATAATACTTATCAAACAGTCAATTACATTTGACACTTAAATGCAATAAAGTCTGATAGTTTTATTGAATTCTAGTCAAATTTATCAAAACTCTAAAATGGACAACATGATATATATCCAACATAGATTGATCTATCAAATGGTGTGTTTTTTTTTTTTTTTTTGATGAATAGAACCTATGACTTGACATCATGTGAGAACAAAAGTTTTTCGTGAGATCCGTAAGACCAATTCTTAACCATTGGATTACATCTACAATCTAAACATTTATAATCACAAAATTGTCACGAGACTGCTCAATAATCATAAAATTGTCACCGTGCAACTTTAGACCATTAGATCATTAGTTTATAAAGTTTATCAATGAACATAAATTGATCTTACAGGTCTTATAAAAAACTTTTGGTCTCACGTGAACCCAACCCTAAAACCTATGCTATTATTATAAAAACGACATATCTAGTTTCATGAAGTTGCAGATTTTAGAGAAGTTCGATGGATAATGATGTCCTAAAACGTCATATCCTATAAAGGACAATCTAATAATCGAACAAAGTACGAATCACTCACGTTACATATTTGGTGAGCATAAAGCACGAAATGCCCCCATCTTAGTGGAAACTCTCAATTACAAGACAAGTGTCCAATTACTTTTTTTTTATAATTAAAATAGATATCAAAAATATAATAAAAAACAAGTTTTAAATAATACTTTTCAAACGAATTATGGTTTTGCTACTAAACCATAAAATCATGTTTTGTCAAAATCATAATCTTATGATTTTGACAAGAACATATCAGATATTTTTGTTAATGGTAGTGGTTTAATGATTTCATCATTCCTTTAGAATAAGTAAAGGAATTGAATTTCATTATTTTACATCCAATTTGACCAACACTACTTACCCTGAGCTAACCACGACCATGTAACTGTTGTCATTGTCATGCCCCCACCCTATTCTCTCTCCCACCACACTACTATTATCGTCTTTGCAATCATCACTTCCCAACCCACCCCTAATTAACCATTGATTACCATGTCACTAATGCCGTCGTCACATCTGTCACCCCCACCCCCACATACCCATGTCACTGTTGTCGTTATCATAGTTACCACTGCCCATCCCAACCCTCCCCCACCATGTCGACCACCACTATTATTGTTGCACAACTAGCACCAGAGGGGAGGGCAGGGCGGGGTGGGGTGGGGTGGGGGTGTCGAGTCCACCCTATTACCATGTCACTATGGTCATCGTCATAGCTACCATGCCCACCCATCAAATTTCATTCTGATTACTTCAAAGTCAATTTATTTTGATGAATTCCAATTCCACCAAATTTTGTTTCTAAACCAAATGCACCGTTATTGTTTGCAATTTATAACGAAATAAAGATATTAAAACCTATTTTTTTTTATTTAAACTTGTTTCCATTACTCGTATTATTTACAACTTAAAACACAATAAAGATATTAAAACGTAACCTTTCTTTAAAATAAAATTTAAATGATAATTGTTATACTTAATTGCAAACATTTATGTATAATTGTATTTAAAAATTATTTTATTTTGAAGAATATATACACATATATATAGGGAAATGTTCAAATGAGAACACCCTTATTTTATGAAAATGCGAGAACACTTCTGAGCCTCCAAATTACTTGACACATAATAAAAATTAGAACCACAAGGGTGGTGCCTGATTGGTTTGAGCTTGGTCTCTAAAGGTCAAAAGTGTATGGAGGTCTCAAGTTCAAATGCAAGAAGAAATAAAAATCCTCTTGTGGTCACGGAGGTTCAAATGCAGTGACTTCGGGCTACCCGCAAAACATGTGGTGGTCATGGGATTAGTCGCCTTGCATGGGTTGGATATTCAAATTAATAAAAAAAATTAGAATAAATGAAAATTAATTAGTATTTATCTATAATTTTTTGTAATCCTAGATTTATCCTTGTCTCTTAAAATTTGTTATTAGCATCAAAGACTTTTTATGTCGATGCGTCCGTTGTTGATGATAATGTGATGATACTGTGATAATTATCTGATTTTGCCGTAATAATAATGTGATAATGATTTGATAAGTTGAAGACTTTTTATGATGTGATTTTGATGTGATTGATAAGTTGAAGACTTTTTATGATGTGATTTTGATGTGATAACCATCTAATAATTATGGGATCTTTGTTGTGATAGCGATGTGATTTTGATGTGATAACCATCTAATAATTATGGGATCTTTGTTGTGATAGCGATGTGATAATGTCGTGATAATCGAAAATCAACGATAATCACGTCTACATTCATTGCTCTGTATGTTTATTATGTGATTTTGCTATGATAATAATGTGATAATTATTTGATACATGTTAACATATTATCTGTATATGATTTTAGAGATAAAGATGTCACCGAAATTACAGATGAATACGAAATCACATGATTGTCCTTAATTATTTAATTTATTTTTTTTAATTTTATTATGGATTAAATAATTTGGAGGTCCATAAATGTTCTCGCATTCTCGTTGATATGTATTGAGTATTCAATGTATTAAGCATTCATTCTTATAATTTTTAATTATATATTTTCCTTTTATCTCAAATCTTGCATCATTTTCATTACATTATTGTCCCCTTTATTGTGTTATGGAGCTGAAGTGCATGATTTACTTGTTTCTACACCAAATGATGGTTAATTTAATCAAAATGCAAGTTGTTTTATGTTGCAGCATTCATGCAACAACATTTGGTGGAATTGTGGCTTTGTGGAGGATTGCTTGTATTCAGCTTTGCTGAATTTCATCAAGACAAACTCTTTTAAGCTAAGGACCATGTCTAGAAGCTTCCCTAAATGATTTTTGGGTTAATATCCATTTTATGCTTGTCATTATTAGCTTTTGTACCTTAAATTACTTTAACTTTGACTTTTGTTAATATTTGGCCCCAAGTTTCGGGTTTTGTCTTTTCACCTCTCCTTTTGTAAAAATAAGGGAGGTTAGGTCTTTTTTAAGAGATGCAATCAGTTCTAGACTGATTTGGTACTTAAATTTCAAGTTAATTCTCAAGTTTCTTTAAATATTGTCATTTACATTCCATTGCTGCAACATTACATATAGTTTTACTTTATTTATATTTCTTGCAATTTAATTTTCGCACTTTACTTTCAGTCATTTATTTACTTTGATGTACTTACTTTCTGTCTTTTATATTTCTTGCAATTTACTTTTCGTAATGAGTAACTAATTTTATTAGTCTAATAGTCTGGGTGTGAGACAAATGGTGGATTTTAAACTGAAAGAAAGTGAATGTTGTTTCACAATAACAACGTTCCACTATTCATTCAAATTTTATTAGACCAATAACACATCTTGACAAGTTGATCACTTTAAAAATGTTAAAGTGTCATAATCTTAAAGATAAGTCATTTGATGCATGTCAATTTGAATGTATGAGAAGTAGACTTGAGAAGTTGCTGACAAAAAGATTTGTTATTTATAATTTTCAAACTAATTAATTCTCGACGAGTTGATCATTTGTTAAAATGTTAAATTGCAGTAGATTCAGAGACGAACTACTTAGAACATACACCAACTTGAATGATATGATAATCGATTCAAGAGAATGATTTTTAACAACGATATTTGTTTATCCATATATTTTGATGACACCATTTGACACTATTACTGATCTTGATACCACATAAAGATATGAGTTGAAAGTTATAATATAGTGCAATGGTGGAGTCCGAGAGGAATACCCTCTAAATAGATGGTGGAACTAGTTATGACTGATTTATTGTTGTAGCATTCTGTTGGACCGGTAACTGCACTAGGGAGCCGCCCACGTGATATTGTCCGCTCTGGGCTGCCCCGGGGTTTCCCCGCACGGCAACAACCCCTCACGGTTTTGTTTTCTAAAACGCGTCACTGGTAGGAGAAGACTCCCACTTCCTTATAAGGAAGAGAAGACTCCCTAGCCTCACCAATGTGGGATGC